AAGACACCACATTTGGATTATGGGGTGCTAGGGATGGAGGCCCAGGGTTTTACACATGCCAGGTATGAACTCCAGTTTCACCTTGTATTCAGGTCTGTATTCTTTTGTTTTGTTTGAAACAGGATCTCATTATATAGCCCTGGCTGTCCTGGAACTTACTCTGTGGACCAGGCTGGCCTCGAACTCACAGAGATCTGCCTGCCTCTGCCTCCTGAGGGCTGGGATTAGAGTGCGCCACTCTGATGGTTCATATATGCTTGGTCAGGGAGTGGCACTATTAGAAGGTATGCCCCTGTTGGAGTAGATGTGGCCTTGTTGGAGTAGGTGTGTCACCGTGGGTGTGGGCTTTGAGACCCTCATCCTAGCTGCCTGGAAGCCAGTCTTTTCCTAGCAGCCTTCAGATGAAGATGTAGAACTCTCAGCTCCTCCTGTAACATGCCTGCCTGGATGTTCCCACCTTGATGATAATAGACTGAACCTCTGAATCTGTAAGCCAGCCCCAATTAAATACTGTCCTTATAAGAGTTGCCTTGGTCATGGTGTCCGTTCACAGCAGTAACACCCTAAGACAGCTACCATGACTGGCCACCTCTGTGTCTCGTTCTCTCCTTTTGTTTTTGAGACAAGGTCTCTCTGGCCTCCAGTTCAGAGATCCTTCTGCCTCCGGAGTACTGGGGTTACAGACATGTGTCACCATGCCCAGCTAACACTCTTTTTTCTCTTCTTCCTTGTGGTTCTGGGGATCTACTCCAGAGCCTGCAAAGGATAGACAGGCTCTCAATCACCGCACTAGAGTCTTCTTATTCTTGATTTAGATATCCTACTTACCATTCTGAAAACAGTCCTGTTTTTCATTTTCACAGAAAACCAAAAGTGAGGCATGCTGCCCTATACCTTTAATCCCAGCACTCTTGAAGCAGAGGCACGTGGATCTCTGTTGAGTTCAAGGCCAGCCTGATCTACATAGTGAGTTCCAGGACAGCCAGGGGGCTATGTAGAAAGATTCTGTCTCAAAAAAAAGAAAAAAATGGGGCTGGAGAGATGGCTCAGCGGTTAACAGCACTGACTGCTCTTGCAGAGGTCCTGAGTTCAATTCCCAGCAACCACATGGTGGCTAACAACCATCTGTAATGGGATCTGGTGTGTTTGAAGATAGCAATAATGTACTCATATACATAAAATAAATAAATCTTTAAAAAAAAAAAAGAAAAAGAAAAAAATGAGAGACAACAAAATACATGCACACAAGTAAACGTAGTTAAATTTTTTTAACACAAATGACAGCTTAATGGCACAAGAAAATAATTTTTGATCATGTTCAAGTCTACAAAAGAGATGAACTTGTGGGAACTCCATCTTTGGGAGGGAATGAAGTGTACCCTCCCACCAAGATGGTTGAATTTAGAGAACCCAAATGGCAAAGTGGCTAACAAGTCATATGGCCTCTTTTGCTGAATGCTCACATATGGTCCAGACCAGGGCTGAGGAAAGCTGCCCAGTACCTGTTTGATGCCTGGACTCCTGGGCATTGCCAGCCAAGGCTTTACCTACATGTCTGGCCTGGCCTCTCTCGTAAATGGGGGAGGAGCTGATACTCAGGCCTGATGCTGATCTCTCCTGACAGCTGCTCCGAAGGCTGGCAAGGCAGCAGCAGGCAGGGGGGAAGGGACCAGATTTAAAGATCCAGCCGCCCCACCCCCTGCCAGACTTGGGTAAGCCAGCATTTGTGAGCATCCTCTGAGCACGCAGTGCCCAAGCAAATAGGTCAGGGACCCCTATGCTCTGGCGTCTACTTCTTGGTACCCTGGGCAACAACATCTAGTCTGCATTTCTGCTCCCATTTCACAGGCCGACAGGGAGACCCCCACTATGAGATTTCGACGCCTGACTCCTGGCTACTTCCGGGTGCTACAGGTAAGTAAATCTAAATACCAGCTTTCGGCCCTACTGACCTCTTCCTCCCCACTTCCCCCAATGACAAAGCTGATACCCCCAACAGCCAGGCTGTCACATTCCCTGCTGCCTGACTAGCCAGGACCCAGATGGGCAGTGAGGCGAGAAGGATTGGGGTGGAATCTCCCTCGGGCAGAAATGGCGTCCGTATCTTCTTTACTCAGCTGCGCCATCTTATCCCCTTCCTGCCTAGAAGCCTCAGTTGACTCTTCATGTGCTCCCTCTGTGTTCTTCCAGATGCAGGTGGCTGGGGAGTTGAAGGCAGAGCCCCGGAGTCCACTGGTTGGGATTGTGGCTACACTGCTGGCTGTCCTTGGGTTAGGTGGCTCCTGTTATGCCGTATGGAAGATGGTGAAGCAGCGGCAGCCATCACAAGCCCCGTGATGAGGCAGGCAGCCTGTCACCCAGGCTTAGAGGTAGGTGACTCAGGTGAGGGGGCTGCAATATCCAAATCCCACTTTTTCCCCTTGGGGATTAGTCTCGGCCATCGTTAGATCCTACTCCCCAGTTTTATGATGTAGGTAGATTCTAGCCCAGAATCAAAGAAGCAGGCGGAGGATACTTGTTCCAAAGCTGGACCTAGTACGGAGTAGACATCTTGGCCCAGAAACCCCTGGTAAGGGAAGTTAGTATCAGAGGCGTACCCTCTTGTCCAGGTCCTTTATTTTGGGCAGAATACCCAGAAGAAGACAGCATCAAACTCAAAATCCAAAACAAACACACTCAGCCTAGCCGATGAGCCACTGTCCATGGGCAGTTTCTCTGCCCTGCATCCTTAGGCCACTCAGGTGGATGTGTCCATCTCAGGGATCTCAGTGGACACTTCTGTGGGCACGCCCAGCCGCTGGGGTTGCACATACGAGCCCATGCCTGCTGCCCTCTCAGCCTCTTCCTGACTGTAGGGTTCGACACTCAGCTGCTTCAGCCTGGGAGAAAGAAGAGTAGGAGATCGCGGAGCTCACCAAGTGCAAGACCTTCCTGCATGGCACCCATCCACCAGCCCTCTACTGACCCCTTCATACCTTTTCTTGTGGTCTTTGGATCGGAAGTGGGTCTTCAGGTTGGCAGAATCGATGAAGTACCTCCTGCAGAGATGTAGGGTGAGGGAAAGAGTGAAGGGGTGAAGTCTCTCAGGTATGCCTACCTCCCTGCCCCTAGCTCGTTGCCAAATATCAGATTCTGAGCCCGAAGAGATGAGAGGCGGGCTGACCCACGGGTCCCAAGACAGAACCGCCTAGGGGCTCGCGGCCCGGACCTCGCTGCTCCGGGCTGGTACCTCAGACCCTGCTCCTCCCCTGGCTGGACTCACGCGCAGGCCAGACAGCGATGCAGGCCGCCCCCTGGCAGGTCCGGGTCGGGCTCTGCGTCCCGCTCCGGCTTGGGCCGCGGGAGACCCTGCGGCCTCAGCTCCCGATGGATCTCATCCAGGTCCGGCCGCCGCTTCTTGGCCTTCATCTGACGAGCTAAGGAATGTGCTCGGTGCGCGCCGGTTCGCCGGGAGCGACCCATGAACACAGAAACACACACACACAAGTCCAAGAAACAGGGAGCAGGGAAAAGACCCACACGTGTTGTCGCTTCCGGGCTGATCAATGACGTCACGAGAGGCCCGCCCGGGGGCGGAGCAGGATTGGCCAGACTGCCTTTGATGACGTCACGGACCCCTTGGCTGCTTGAGCGCCCCCAGATGGTCGTTGATGATAGTGACTGGGCTATGGCGGGGCAGGATCGGGCCTGGGGGGAACCGGTCCCACTATTCTGCCCGCCCCATCATCACTTCCCGCTTTCCACACCTCGAATTTCAGTGGTAGGGGATGCTTTTAACGTTTCTGACAGCACTGATGCTTGTGCCATGAATAAATTACTTCATAAATGAGAATTAGTGTGGAATCACGGATGGGTCACCCAGAGATATCCCTAGGTTCTAACAAAGAGCCTTCCTCCCCCCACTCCCACCCTTGGCGTTTCATTTTACCTCTCTCCTCTGTCTCCCCCCTCCCGTCCCCCACTCTCAAATTCCTGGGGCAAAGAGCGGAAAATTGTTTCACAAAGAATCTACCCCCTAAGGGGTCTGTCCTTGGAGAATGCTCAGCTCTTCATACAAAAAGAACATTTTGTCTGTTGTTTGGTTGGTTGCTTGTTTGTTTGGTTGGTTGGTTGGTTGGTTTTTCAGAACTGGGGTTGGTGCCCACGGCTTCGTATAATCCAGGCAAAGAGTCTAGTAGAGGAGTTTGGAGTGGGGGCACTGCACCTCTAGCCCAAGAGGAAATGTCCCTAGAAGAACTCCCCACCTCTGCTTTCTTTCTCTATGCCCAGGCTCATGGGGAGGGCTGGCAGGAAAGGGGAAAATGACCAAGAAGTGTTGACTTTGCTCATCTTGGCCTGGTGCCTCTCAGGCTGGCCAGAGCCAGCTCTACTATATGGGGACCGAGGACCTCAGCAATAATTCAGAGTTCTGGCTCTTTGGAACTAGTTGCCAGGAAACAGGGAGTCAGGCACGTGCATCCTTGGGGAGAACGGGTTTCTAGGCCAGACCTGCAGTGAAATGGAAGCCCAGGGTGCTGACTGGAGGCCTGGGATCTTCTGACTCCAGCTCATGAGAACTGGGTAGACACAGGGTGGGACCCTGATGAGTACTCATCTAGGATGGCTGCTATCACAGGATGCATAGGTATGGCTCCTGGACTCAAGACTTTGAGTGGAAGACTTTTTTTTCTACAGCTATTCTAAGACATGAATCGCCTTCAGTTTTCCTGAGTGCAGGCAGGAAAACAGACTCTCCAAAAAGCTGACTTCATTAACTTTGGCCAATATGGGTCAAGACTTGGGGCTGAAATGGCACAAGGCTGCCCCAACCTCAGAACCACTGGGATCAGGTTCACCTGCTTGGCACTGTGCCAGCAGGGGAGACTGGTGCATCTTTCATGAAGTCACCGGATCCTCGGGACAGGCTCTCCGTTCTTCCAAGTTTCTGGAGCCAGAGCCACTGGTGCCCACTGAGCTACCACCTTCCGTGCCTGGGTCCCAGGCCCCTTTCCCCTGCAGCCATGACCCAAGCCTTCTGGAAAACTTACAAGTCCAAAGTGCTGCAGACGCTGAGTGGAGAGTCTGAAGAGGATCCGGCAGAGGAGGTGGGTACAGTTTGTGTTTTCTAGGACAGACAGACAGCAAGGGTGGGGAGTGCGCTGAGCATTAAATAGGCTGGGGAAGAAGATAGATTGATTTGTGCAAAAATTGTAGGTGGGATTACGAACAGCATAGTGCAATGACAGAGAATGTTCAAGAAAGTGAGAACAGGAAGGTGTAGGGCCATGAGAGAAGCAGTCGCTGACTCCAAGGATCTCACGAGCTGCCATACAATAAAGAATATTCCAGCACCACTTGGCAGAAGACACGCGAGGACGTTATGCTTTATACAGCTTTCTAGTGGACGAAGCTGGAGAGTAACAAGCCCCTGTTTCTGGAAGTAGGGAGTGGCTCTCACGCTCTGTGGACCACAGTAGCAGCCTCCGATCAAAGCCATACTTAGACCGTACTTGGTGGTGAGGGAGAGGGCAAAAAAGACTTTGAAAATAAGAGAGTTTACATCTAGAGGGTGTGGTAACTGGCAGTTACACAAATAGATGTGGCGGGGGCAGGAACTAGCCCGGTGAGGGGTGGATAAGCATATGACTGGACAGGCTGGTGTCCAAGGCTGGCTTTCTACGGATGTGTCTGTAAGAAAATGCTACAATTAGTGTCTCTGTGAAAAGTCCAGTGCAGGTGTGACCTGGATCTAGTGAGTTTCCATGGGTGTGTGTTTTGAGCAGGATTCTGCTCCTGTATGCGTTTGTGTAGGCTTTTACAGGTGTTACGTTTGGTTGGTAGAGAAATTTGGAGGGCTGTGCACAGATCTCTGTTTAGCCAGCTTCCTGCAGGAGGAGAAGATACAAGAATGAATTCCTTAGCCACATAAATGCTCTTGTGTGGGTGCCTGACTGCATATGTGTATACAGGGGTAAAGGTCTAGCCACAAAGGTCTAGAGGCATGTATGTCTGTAGTAGTGCACACTGTATGCCCTTGTCCGAGGTTTTGAGATCGTTTGGATGTTTGGGAGTGGGAGGTGTCTGCAGAGATTTATTGTGCAGGCCTGTGTGTTCGAGCAGAGGCATCGTAGAGAGATAAGTGTACCCGTAAGCACTCCCATGGGCCGAAGTGGAGATGCAGGGCGCACAGGAGATGTGCTTTTATGGTATACAGACTGCCTAGTGTGTGTGCACTGGTTAGCAATGGAGTTTCTCTCATGCTGAGGGTGAGGTGGTGTCTTGTGTCCCAGAGGGAGAGCCCAGCATTAGTGGAGTCTGAGACGGCAGAACCCACGGAGGAGACATTCAACCCCATGTCACAGCTGGCCCGCAGGGTGAGTTCCACAGTCTTCCATCCAAGCCTGGAAAGCCTAACAGAGGCCGGGGTGAAGCCCTGGAGGCTTGTCCAGGCCTGACTCCCAGCTCTTTCCTCCCAGGTTCAGGGTGTTGGGGTGAAAGGCTGGCTGACAATGTCATCTCTGTTTAACAAAGAAGATGATGACAAACTGCTGCCACCAGAGCCCTGTGTTGATCAGTAAGTGTGTCCTTAGGGGGTGGGGCTGCAAGAGTCCTAGGATCTCTCTTCTGTCATGATGGTGCCCTCTGTCTTTCTAATCCTGTGGGGCTTTATAGGGACAGTCCCAGGATGCTTTTTCCTATCAGGATACACCAGGCCTGTGTAGGAGATGGGGTTAAATCTCTTGGGACTGAGGTAAAGGGAAGTCCTTACTGAGGTAAAGGCTCCTCCCTCTTCCTGAGGACAGCCATCTCCCTAGAATCCAGGACAGCAGAGAAGACCTTTCTGGATGCTTGCAACGAAGGGTGGTCTAGATGGTAAACCCTCACCCTCCAAAGCAGTTTGTCACCAGCGTAGATTTCCCCTTCTTCTGATTCTCTTGGTGTCCATGGAGGCCTGAGGATCTCAGAGGACCCCAAGGCACACCAGTTTGGAACGCGTTGCTTAATAAGGTCTTTGATATTGAGAACAGACTCGGGCTTCATCTCCAACTGGCTTTGTTTCTCACACGTCTGCCTTCCAGCCCTGTGCACCCACCCACCACAGTCCCTTTGTCCCTAGGACCTCCATCCATTCCTTTTGCCTCAGGGGTCCTCCCCACCCCTTCCCCACCTTCCAGTCCCAGTTCTCCGAGGACTTTTCCAGAGGCAAGGCTCCTTCTTCAAGCCTATCGCCTCTCCTTGGCAGCCCTTCCCCGCATCGACACCCCCTAACCCCTCATCTTTTCTAAGCATCTGTGGCAGGATTTCTTCCACTTTCTCCGTGTACCAAATTCCTCTTATCTCAATCTTAGAGTCTAACTACTTTGCTCACCTGGCTCCCTGCCCTCTCCAGGGTCGAGGGATCTCTCCTACAGGACCTAAACAAGTCCACCCCAGCTCTCTCGTGCCCTTCTCCCCTCAGAGACCCTTCCTGGCTTTTCAGACCCGGCTTGATGGCCTATTGTCTCTGTACCAGAGTCTCTTCTCCAAACTCCTGACCGCCCCACCCAACTCGGGGATGCCTGTTCCCCTCTGCCCAGCCCTCCCACCTCTTTCCCTGACCCTTTCCTTCTCCACCTCCCCTTGCTTGCAGGCCCTGACCTTGCCCTGACTCCCTTGGCCGCACTGCTTGTCTTCTGACTTCTGTCCCTCTCTGGAACCCCGGGCCATCCTGTTGACCCCCTGCCTCTCCTGCAGCCCACTGGCTGCGCCCCCTTCCTCGCAGGCGGCCGCAGCCGAGACAGAGCCACGCGGACCAGGATTCTGGGACGCGTTCGCCAGCAGGTGGCAGCAGCAGCAGCAGGCGGCGGCGTCCATGCTGCGCGGCGTGGAGACCACCGCGGAGCGAGACCCGGAGACACAGGACAAGCCTGCCGAAGAGGCCACCGAGTGCCCCGAGACACGGGAGGCGGATCCCGCGGCAGGCTTCAAGTGGGGTTTTCTCACCCACAAACTGGCAGAGATGAGGGTGAAGGCCGCTCCCAAGGGCGACTAGACGGCCAGCCTCGCTGGCGCCCGTCCTTCCCTACCTCCCATAAAATCTCCTGGATCGGACACTCAGTGTCGCTGTGTAATTTTTTTTTTCGGACAACAGGAAAAGCTACTTTTAGGTGGGCGACCTTGGGGGTGGGGAGCTTCTGGCTAAAGGGTTCCTCACCTACTTTACTGACACAAGTACCAAGGCACTCCAGGTGACAGGATGGGTGACCTTAGATTTAAGATGAGATTTTCCAAAAAGCCCCAGAGGACAGACTCTTCTTCCCTGTCCAGCTTCATCTCACTCGGCAAATCCTGCTGGTGGCCCAACGGCATACGCGAAATCGAAATGCACAATGTTGGACCAACCAGAGGTAGCCCTCCACTAGCAGGTCCGTACAAGGTTTTGTTGCAGCACAAAACAGGGCTGCCCGTGGGAACTCAGGGGACATGGGGAATTTTGGGATAGTTTCTCGGAGAATGAGTTAGGGAAGGAAATCGAAGCTGAAGGGGGAGAATCCCGAACAAAGGCTTCAACCGGAACCTGTGAAGAAAACCCGCGACTTTGTGTCGGAGTGGGGGGGGGAGGAAGGAACCTCGCTGGCCATATAGTTGGTGGAGGGCTTCTCGCTGCATGAAGTCCTGTGTTCAGGCCCCAGTGTTATGTAAACCACAGTGGTTGGTAACAGGGTGAGACTGACCTGGGACACACAGAGACGATAGTAGCAGGAGGTTCCAAATCCTGACCTAAAGGTGCCCCAGTTTCAGTGATTTCAACCGCAGATCCTCCGTCTCAGCCTTTCTTACCTCCGGACTCTGGGAGGGCGGGGCTGGGGTGCGAAGCTCCGGGAATTCTGGATGATTTAAGCAAGCTCCTGTGTATTGAGCATTTCTCTATTCCAGGCACAATCGCCACATGCATTACAGCTCCTCCAGAACGCTGTCCTCTGCCTCCTTTAATAACCGTCAAAGGCCCCCGTTTGGTCAAGGTCACACACTCAGCCTGGAACCCACGCTCAAAACTCACACACTCAGCCACGCAAACCAGTTCTCCTCTTTCTTCAACATCTGCCCGCTAAGCCATACTCATGGTCCTTTTATTAAATAAGATTTTAGCTTTATTCAGTAGTTCGCTCATCTCCCACCCCAAGTCCACCACTGCTCACATTTAGCATCTAGAGAGGCCACGTGGCCACTGGACCCGTTTCCACAGTCCGCGCCTGGCCCCTGTCTGTGGTCCCCCCTGCTCAGCGTGCAGATCGGGGTGGGAGACCTGAGATCCAGGGGAAGGATTTGTTCACGGACGAGGCCAGCTCTCCGGGAGCGGTCTTCCCGTGTGTTGGTGGTCACACCTCGGACTCGCGCGGCGGGGCGCGCGCGCGCTGGCACCCATACAACCACTGGATGACGCGCGCGTTGCGTTCCACCACCGACACCGTGGGGCGTCCGTCCCGCGCTGACCCCGCCGCTTCTGAGCCCCCGCCGCCGCCGCCCGCACAGTCCGGGCTACCCGCGTCCCTGTCGCTGGATGTCCAATCGCTGGTGTCCCCGGAGCCGGGCGGCGGCGACGTTGCGACCTGCGGACTGTGCTCTGCGCCCCAGCTCTGCGGAGAGAAGCGCTCGGCGCCCAGCACCTCCACCAGCGCGCGCTCCAAGCCGCAGTAGTTGAAGAATCGCTCCTTCTCCGACAGTGGCAGCGAGCACGTGGGACACAGTGCTCGCTTCCCTGTTGCCTCTGGAGTATCCGGGGACCCAGCCCACGTCGCGGGAGCTCCAGGTCTCTCTGTAGGTGCGGGGCTGCTCGGGGCAGCGTCCCGAGTGGCGCCAAGGAAGAGGCGTCGTACTAGCCCCTGGCCCTTGGCGTTCTCTTTGTTCACCGAAGCCTTGCAGTCCCGCTTCTGGCGGTAGAAGATAAGGGAGTCAGGTCTTGGTTGTCGCTTGCCGCTACCCCTGCGGGCAGGGCCAGGCGTTCGGGGCGATGCAGATGCCCCCAGTTCATTGCAGGGGTGTGGCGTCAGTGGTCCCGGTCCCCCGCGCAGGGCTGGCTCCTGACGGCGTACTATCACCTGGTGCGTCTTGACATACTTGGCTTTGTCGGCCTCCAGCCTCTCCACGGCGCTAGGGGTTCGTCCCCTGGATGGTGTAGTGGGTGAGGCCAGGAGCATCTTCACGGAGCTAGGCAGGTCAGTGCTCCATACACAGTTAAGGATGCGCAGGTAGCTGAGGAGCAGCGAGCAATTCTCTGGAGTTCCTGGCGCCTGTAGGGAGAGAGGAATTGTCTGGAAGAGAGTAGGCTGTTCCTGTCCCTTTCCCGCAGGCATTCCTGGGTAGAGGATCAGCCAGTCACCCCACCCCCACCAACTGGTGCCATGCCCAGAGAGCAGAAAGTAGAACCTCCCTCCCAAACCTTTAGAGGCATTGGGTGGTTCTTGGGGAGGGGGCATCTATGCCTCTTTGAGAACGTCCCAATCTGCCCACTGGGCCACAAGACAAGCAGGACACTTGGAAAGGAAAATCAGGCGGGTCCTAGCCTGATTCCCGAAATCGGCCTTAACCGGAAAAAATACCTCTTCCCAACAGTGTAGCTTCAAGCCCAAGACAAGGAGGTTCCCCGGCCACAGGCTGTCTTGCAGCCGACCCACCCTTCCCGCCCCCAAGCACCGAGGTCAGGGACATAACCACAGGGTAGAAGCCTCCAGGAATTGCTGCCAGCTTCCTTGCCCAGGCCCGGCAGGGCTATTCAGGAAGGAGAGGGAGGTGGTCCCCAGCCCATATCAGTCTGCCACTGCCAGCTACTCTATGTCCCTGCCAAGGGGAGTCCCAGAAAACCTAACTGTAAACACAATTCCATTCAGCAACCCCCACACTTCCATTTCAGAGGCCAGGACAATGGCTGAAACGAATGGGTTTATACGGGTTCTTTTGAGAGTAAGGGTGCCACCTTGGAACCCAGATTTCTTGCCTTACTGTGCAGATCTAGATCAGCTAGGACTCCCTGCTGGCCTATCTGAACGTTTCCCTCTGGGGTTTGGTTTCTGATCTTACTGTTATAAAGCCGGGCAGGAACCCCTAGTGTCTCACTAATTGGGTCCCTCCACCGATTCATCTGAATAACTTGCATACCCAGAAATTGGCCCTCAGGGTCCCTGCCTCCTTCCCATGCAGAAACCTCTGACCTTTCTCCTTTACCTCTCTTGTGCTGCTCTTTGGAAAAGGGCAAGAGGGAAGGTAAATCAAGAGTTGACAGTTTCCTTGTCAGCTAACAGAATGGGCCACCCACATGGTTCAACACACCCACCCCTGCCCTCGGATTTCCCGTTCCCACACAGCTGAGAGGAACTTATTGGTTCTGAAGGAACTTTGGATCTGGAGGCAACAAAAGAACAGACTAGGCAAGGGTATGTGAAGAAGGGGGGTGCCCTCCACCCTTCACAGAGGCCTTAGAGCAGAGACCCTGGCAACTGCGGCCTCAGCCCAAACGTTACAGGTTCCACACCACTACTCAGCACTGCCTTCCAGTAAATCTGACTAGAACGTGAATGGTTGAAACCTAGGCAGTAATGACAGTCCCACGGTGCCCTGCGCTATTCTCTCGGGGACTATACTAAGCAGTGGGTCAGATTCCAAGGTCCCAGGAGGGCACTGAGCTTGTCTGACCTCACGGATGGCCTCTGTCCTCTCCTCTCTTTAGCCTTGAGCAGAGAGGCTATAAAAAGTCCCTAAACACAAGGACCAAAATAGTCTACTGTCCCCTGCCTGTTCCCTGTTTTCAGGGCTGGCTTTGATGTTTGACCACAGACAGCCCATCCTAGCCTGGTAGCCAGTCATGTCCTCTCTGTTCCAGTGCCTAACCTCTCCCAGCCCTAGAGTTAGTAAATTCCAGCTCTGTGCACTCCAGCTTCGGCTCTGAATACTGGCACTTCTAGGTTCAGTAGCTTGGCCCTCAGTCTCCTCGCCATCCATCCAAAGTTGCCTCCCACCCAGCGTTGGACTCCAGACACACTCACCTCTGTGTGGCGATGCTGAGTTGCAGTGGTCCTTGGGTATACCCAGACTGAAGGCAGAAGAGACAGTGGGGATTAGGGAGTAACTTTGGTAGCAGCCAAGCCTTACTCTCCACAGGAAAAGCGGAGAGCCTCCACCCCCTAGGTTAACCCTTCCTGACCCAGAGCAATTAACTCCTTCCTAACCAATCTTAGTGCTGACAGGACCCTTGAGCTGTGTTCCTGGAATTTTGCTCTACAGATGGTTAGATAAATAGTCTCTATCGGGTTCAATGGTTGCCATGGAGGTACCATAAATTGGGCTGAAGAAACATAACCCCAAACAAGGCCTTCTGCTCTGTAGGTTCCCTCTGAAGTACCGATGCTGGATATAGGACAGTGAACAGAAATGGGTGCCATGCCATTTGCTTTTCTTTCCCTCTCTGGAGGTTTAAGCCTGTTTTATTTCTGGTGTTGGAGCCTGGTGGGAAGCCTGCTCTTCCTAGAGGGGAGTCCCGGGCATCTGCACCCTAAGGGTGGGTGCAGCGTGCTGCAGGCGTGCAGGGAACGTGAGGGTTAAGCAAGAATTCAGGGGTACAGCCTTAATGGTGGCAAACGGAGCTACAGGGAAAAGTGTGAGGGAAGAGATCTCCCAGGGCTAAGCCTCTATCCTTTGGCCACCTACCTGGGGACTCCTAAGGCTCTAGCCTACTTTACTCTGACAACATTTATCTCTGGCGGGGGAAGCCCTATCTGTAAAGGAGTCCCACCCCTCTCAGTAGGTGAATCTCTTAGCACCCAGAGTTCAAAGGCCAGTGCTAGGCTCTGGTCTTAGCCTTTCTCCCAAGTTGTACCCACCCCCTACCAGCCCAACCACTTAGCATGAACCCTCTCCCTCCCTTTTAGCACTTCGAATGTTTGCAAGGCACATTTGCATCTAGGCTCTCTGATCTCCTTTGAGCCCCCTCCCTTGGAACCTAGATAGAACTCAGCAGGAATAGTAACCCCACTTAATGAGGAAGGAAATTAGTAAAGT